AAAAAAAACATCTACCAGTTGAATCATTCATATAAAAATGACCCACTGCATTAGAAACATCTTTCTTTGATAAAGTACAAACCTAAATACAGAAAAAGAAACCCAAAAGTGTCAACTTGAACTCCTCAGGTGAATTTGGTAAGATATTAAGTAATTGTTTTACCCACAATTCCAGCTAGGCTTCTCATTATATATACTCCACTCTCACTAACACACACAATGGAAGTAACAAAAACTGCATTTCCTCTAACAGCCACTTGAGGCTGGCTCCAGCAGTAAGTCAATCTCCATTAGACCCCATACTAAAATGCCCAACTTTACAGCGGAAATAAACTATGTTTACAGTCTGGTACAAAAAACAGTTTTGGTCTCTATAGATAATTTTCCTGTTCATAACAACTGTACAGGGTTTTTTTTTGTTTTTGTTTTTTTTAAACTCACCAGTTTATATTTATATTAATTCAGTTATATTAATTATGCATAATTTATCATTCATGCAGAGCATATTCACTCCTCTTTCCTAATATTTGTTAAAAACGGCAGTTCTCAACATTTTTAGAAATTAAATTCTATATTTTTTTTTTTACCCATTTTTAAACATCTTCAGAAAAAAAACAAATGGGCTTCAGACTGGGTTAAGAAGTCACAACTATTGGGAGACAAACTGGAGCATTTTTGTTTTTTCATTGAATTTGTTAACGGTAAGAAAAATGTAGAACAACACCAGCCCAATCCCTTGAGATACTACCCTCTTAGGACACTGCTGCACATCTCGTTCATACTGCGTGGCCTTGTTTTCTTTCCACGTGCCAATGTGCCTGGATGGGTAGCTTTTAGTCTCTTTGCTGCAGCTCAGTTGTTCCCTTCCTCCATGATTATTCTCTTGTTGTACATTTCTAGTGGTGGTTGTACTTTTCCCTTTTTGTGTACGCAGGATTACTAGGTTTGGAGAGCATTCCTTTAATATTTGTTTTCGCCTTTGCCTGCATTTTGACCGTCACCTTAGAACTTGTTTTAGTCGCTCTACAAAGTGCGTGTGAAAAAAATTACCCTTAAGTCCTTAGTCTTCTAAACATCCCTTTCTTTGTCTTATCTCAGGTACCTGAACCTCCAGGAGAACCGCATCAACGTGATCCATGACCAGGCCTTCCAGGACCTTGTGCGGCTGGAGAACTTCTACCTCAATGACAACCTGCTGTCTGATCTGCCCCAGCTTGCCTTCAAGGGCCTCATTCGCCTCAAGATGCTCAACCTTGGAGGTAATCAGTTGACCAACGTGTCCAAGACCTGGTTCAGCGACCAAGTAGAGTTGGAGGTCCTGTACCTGGACAGGAACCAGGTGCTATACATCGAGGAAGGCACTTTTGAAAACCTGACCAGCCTAATCACACTCCACTTGAACAGCAACAACCTCACCACCCTTCCCTTCCCCGTCTTCCAGCCCATCTACTTTCTTGGCCGCCTCTACCTGTTTAGAAACCCCTGGGTGTGCGACTGCTTCCTGGAGTGGCTGAAGGAGTGGATGGAAAACTACAAGCTGGTGCGGGACATCCCCTGTGCCTCACCTTCCTCTGTGGCAGGGCTGGATCTCAGTGAGGTGGTCTTTGCCAAGGTGAATGGCACGTGCGTGGACCCCGCAGAGCTAAATCTGACCACGGCCTCGTCCGAGATCGTGTCCACCACGGAGAACCGCTTCAACAGCCTCATCTCCAAGCTGCTCCAGCAGGAGCTCAGGGAGGAGATGGGGAACAGCACAGAGAGCCTCCGCAATGGGACCCTTCTGGACCCCGAGGATGGGCAGCTCTCTGCAGGGGTCAGGCACCAGGTGCAGGCAAGCCAATCGCTCCTCTGCTTCCTTGTAGTGTGGCTCATCTTTGGTTTGATTGGCCATTCAGATATACATTTCTGTCTTTCCTGCACTGTCTTTTTCTGGGGTTTGTATCCAGACGGAAACATCAAGGGGTAGCTTTTTTAAATTGCCGATGAGATGATTTTTTTTCTCTGAGAAAGCACCAAGGAATGCTCTTCCTTGCACGTGTGGTTACTGGTGTGAGTCGGCCCCGGAATTAGGGGGTGTTTTTTTTCTGTTGAAGCACAAGTGTGTTAAACTGCATATTCTCAGCCATCCTCAGAAGAAAGACTGACGCTGACATGGCGGCATTCATTTTCACATGAGCTGTTTATACACAATAATCTATGATATTTATAGATGACCTACTTATATAAGAGAAATCATACGTCTGATACATAACTTCTCCTGGTTCCTGCCGAAGCTGCAGGATTGATTGCTACAATTACAGAGGCGGCAGTTGATTTCAAACTGTGGATTACTTATGGCGACATGATGAAAATGTATATGTGATCCTCCACCTTTTCTTGCATAATACTCAATTTTAATTAATATTACGTAATATTCATAGCATTACGTAGTCTGTTACTAGAGTTTTTTTGTATTTTCATTCACATCTATGTGTAAAGTTAAAGGAGATAAGAGCTCCTGTAGTTATCTCCTAAACAGATGTCCTCTTCTATTCACTCAACTCTAAATGTAGGTTGTGCAGCTTTTCCATAAATGCATTAATCTTCTTATTGCATGCGGCTCAGTGTGGTTGCTGCTCGGCTATGCTACAGCATAATGGAGGGACTTTTGCCTCGAGCATGGACTGTTTTCCCCTTATGGACATGATCTTTCTCCATACATGGCGGTGTAGTTGGTGTGCTTGCCATATGTCAGCTTGTGGATGGGGGAGGGAATAGTGTCAAAGCATGTCAGATCTCTTTAGGTAAAGAAATCCTTTCAGGTACTTTATATTTCAAACGAATATATATACTACTATATTATATTTTTTATTATTTATTTATTTATAAATATTATATCTATATATACTATATTATAATATAGCTATGATATATATATAATTATTATATATATATATACTATTATATATATATATATATATATATAGATTATATATTATATATATATATATATAACTATATACTACTATCCCTCTGGTGTTGAGTGTAGCTGAAGAAGTAAGAGAAAATCCCCTCTACTGCGGTTCAGTGGTGTTATTAGACAAAACGCTCTGTCACATGATATATTTTTCTAAATAAAATTAAATTGCTGTTGAATTTTGGCACTCCTCAGTGGCTCCTTTCATACAGTGGGTGATGAATGCCAGTAATCTGCACACTGGCCTTTTGGCCCTTTAATGTGGGATTAGGCTGGGACTAAGACAACTGGGAGGCTGGATGCTGCATGTCATCCCTTGTATGTACCCTGGTTGCCATGCAGCGGCTCTCATGCTTTTATCCTGAACTGCTGCAGAAAAGTAAAAGGATTCGGAATGTCTTTCATTTATCTGGGCCATATCTGAAATGGCAGAGGTGTTACAGAAGAGCTGCTGTAGTGAACTCACTATTTTCTATGTAGGCACTGGTATATTTTTTTTTACAGGTGTACGGTAGGAAAATCTGTTAACACTTAATTTTGGCAGATGCTTGTAGCACCAAGTGTCAGCAGGGGTGGATCTAGAGAGGTGGCAGCCACTAAAAAATGTCTGGTGTTTGGTGTCAAATTTAACATTTAATTAGATTGATTTCAAAAGTAATATGTTAAAAGACAGAAATGAATACATATAACTTAATTACCTTCTGTGGCCTCATTTTAACTAAGTGATTAAGTGAGGCTTCAGTACAATAAAAACAGACATGTATTTGGAAAAATGTCTAAAGATTTGGAAATAAAACAATGTATTGATTTCAAATTCCACCTTTAGATATTTCTATTCAGTGCTTTACAATGTGCCAGAATAATATTATTGAGTTTAAATAGCTATTTTGTGTTTAATGTACCCTACCTTTCTGCCAGAGAGCCTCTCATAAACACAGGATTTTTACCCAGAAGACTGCTGTCTGCATCCTGTGAACGTTGACCTTTAACCCAAACCATGGTCTTTTCCCAAATCTAATCAAACTGTCAGTGAAAATAATTTCTCCTGGGTGTAAGTTCTGTGTTTGATCCATTCATCCACCACAAGCTCCACCCTCTATGGACTTTGTTGCTATTCGTACTATGTCACCTGTAATGGGTTATTTTAACAAAAAAAAAACGTTTTTTCATTACATCAAAATTTTAATTAAGAACTTAATTTTGTAAGAAACATTCTTGATTAATCAGCTTTTACCAGAATTTTTAAGTGACACTGACTTAGTTTTGTAAGTTACAGAAACATTCCTGTTTAAGTACTTCTTACAAGGTATTTTGTTTCAGATTCGAAAGATTACAAAACTAAACTAGAGTCACTTAAAATTTCTAGTAAAAGCTGATTAATCAAGAATATTTTTAACTTACAAAATTGAGTTAGTGCTAGTTTTAAATTACAACATTTTCAATTAAATCAGTTTCAGAATTATTAATTAATCAGGTTTTATAGTGTATCTATAGTCTTTCTTGGCCAAGTCCAAATAACCAAAAAAGCTGCTGCGTTGCAATGTTGCGAAACATTTTTGCACTATGTGCAACGTTGTGGTGGAGCACAAATGATCATTTTACAGGTGCAGTAATTTTGTAAGAAGTTTGCTGGAAAGGGACTGGAGAGAGAAAAAATTTTCACAGCTACATTTGATTTGAGTGTGTTTTGTTAGTTTTCTCAAAAGAATTGCTAAAAATGGATAAAAACTGACACATCTATGTAAACCCCAGTAAATATTCAGTTATTAGAAACTTTGGTCCCCATATTTGTTGCAATGCTATATGCTTGCCTGCCCTGTAGACAAATTTGACATCTTTGTATTTTCATTTAATCTGCTATGCACTGCATAAAAGAGTCTCCAGATTATGCTAGCAATTACTTGGAATTCATTAATGGAGCACGGTCTCTATTTCCCCAATAATTGCTACCAAATTATATTGAAGCCTACTTTCCTGTTACTTTTCTAAGAATGTATGATTATATATCAGCTCTCTCCTGGATTGGATTGAAATGGATTGGAAACAATGGAACCTGTGAATTAAAGATTAGCTCAACTGTCAGCAGCCTTGCCGTATAATGTGTGATGTTAAATGGAGCTGACAGGGAACATGAAAACCAGTTTTTCCTTGTTTGCTCTCATTTTGTAGCCTTAGTTTGTAGACTCTTGTAGTGGCCCTGTGAGGCCGATCATGATTTTCCAGAAAACAAAAGTGTTGATTAATTCATGGAAGGTCAACTGTTGAAAGGGGACGGGGAGTGGTCCTGTGATATGTGTTATACCTAGGCCAGTGGTTCCCAACCTTTTTTCTTAAGAAAGCCATTTTCTATCACTGACTAAACTGACTAAGTGACATATTTCTATATTCATATTCAATGCATAACAAATAACAGTAGAGAAACAACTTGATAAACTGTACAATGAATCCAAACAGTGAAACCAATAACTGCAGGAAGTTTGTTTTCTTGATATTTTTAGGAACCTTTTGTGCAATTTTGTGTGTGCATTATGTATTTAAAATTTTAACAATCATCCAGACTTAATGGGCTTCTTTTTTTTGAAAAATCCACTGTTTTCCTCATATTGCTCTTTGGTTGTTTGAACTTCTCAAAAGCAGGATGAGGCTGTTTATCAGACTGTGTGAATATAGCTTGTGTTCAGCTCTTCAAAGTTTAGATCTTAAATAATAGTCTGAACTTTCAAAATAACAATTTCATTTAGTTTTCTTCACATGAACAATGTTGAGAGATAAACTTACTGTGTAAGTTTTCTTACACCCTTAAATATCAAGAAGGCCTTGCAACCCTCCATGAAACTTTGGCGGTCCCGAACCCCAGGTTGGGAACCACTGCTGACAAGACTCTCCTATTATCCAAACTGCCTCTCTGCCATTTTAATAAAAAGTCATTTCCTTTGTTACAGGACACCAGAGGTGGACGAAGTACTCAGATTTTGTACTCAAGTAAACGTTATAGCACCACAGTGTAGACATCCCATATTATATATAAAGTCTGCATTAAATTTTTTACTGTAAGTAAAAGTACAAAAGTAAGTACATAAGACATTTCCACACTTCAGTATACCTGGAACAGAGAACATTTTTGCTGGTAAAGTGGGTACTCATATTTTATATATGAATGCTACTTTCAAAAAGACTTTATCACTAGATCCAATTTCTATGGAAGCCCTTGAAGATTTTAAGTCTTTAAGTCATTATAATGACAAACTTTCTCAAAATAATGAAAAGATTTTTGACTTATATCTCAAAATAATGACTTTTTGATACTAAGTCAATATTTTGAGTTTCTTATCATAACTTTCAGAATCTTAATTTTTCCTCACATTGGTGGAAATGGGCCTTTTTTTGTTGTCTTCAAAGCAGCACTGCTTAGATAAAAAATGACTGAGAAATACCTATATGCATCTTTCATTTTCTAATATTTCCTTTGTAGGAGCATGTTTCCAGCACTTCCAGTGCTGACAGTAACAGCCACATTAGCCTAAAACCTCCCACTAAGGTAACGTATCCATTTTCATTCTGAGGATTCAAATCCATACTAAAAAAAAAAAGAAAAACAAACACAGCTATCCTCAGTCAGCGCTGCCTCTTTTTTTCACATATTAATACTATGGGATTACGTAACAGTAAAACACAGTATTCAGGCTGTGCTTCATTCTAATCACTCACTTGGATTGATTGAAATCACAAAATGCAGCACTTGACTGAGAGGTCAGCTGAGTTCTCATTCACCTGAAACATGTACATAATCCTGAGGACTCACAGGCTAGACTCCATGTATGTATTCAATTTGAGAAAAATTGAAGACTAAGAAAAGTGGATAATATTTATTATTTTCAGTCCCTCCAGGATTTCATAGGCTTTTTTGGGGGGATTGTTGCAGCCTAAAATGCCTGATTTTATGACAACTTAAAAAAAAAATTTTGCACTAAAATTGCAAAAATTGCCACTCTACAGGTGTGTTTTACTGTGTAAGAGTGTCGGTCAATTGGCAACTTTCATTTGTGCTCCACCACAACGTTGCACATAGTGCAAAGCTGTTTTGCAACATTGCAACTTCCTGAAGGGAAGGGAACATTCTGCTACCTGCCCTGGATAAAGTGGGAACGAGATACCTCTCTGTATTCTGAGAAAGGAGGGACTGCGAGAGCCATGTTACTGACTGAACTCTCTATATCAGTGGTTGCTGTCTGAACATAGAGCTATTTTATTTTAACAAAAAAATGTTTTTGTTGTGTATTTGTGCCTTTAGGGCCCTCTTTCAATAAATTCTAATTCAAATCAGCACTGTTACAGTAAGTTGGCTTTGTGAAAGCTGCACCTGCTCACAGATACCCTTGCATGTTTGTGTGCAGTGGAAAAGAAAAACAGAAGAGTCACTCCAAGGTTCACTTTTCCAACACATAAAAGGAAATATATTTTAAAAATTGTTCATACTGAAGAACCTTTATCATTGCAGAGTAATTTACACAAGGGGCAGTTGTATGTCATATTCATATACATGGTTATATAGATGCACACCCTGCCTCCTCTTCACTTGCAAAGTAGTGGCCTTTGCAGAATTTATAGTGTACACTTCCTTCGCAGACAGTTACAGTTTCAGAATAAAAATCAGCATTTCATCTCTTGTGGATTTTTAAACTTGATTGAAACACTAATACTCTTGGACATCACATTTCTGAAATGGCAAATGAGGAAGATGGTGAAATTGTTTCTTTTTTTGCGAATGACAAATCAATAAGAGGAAAAATCGAGACTTTTATTCGATTTTTTTTTTTACAAACACATCTCACTACATGGTCAATCTTTTTTTTCTTCTTTTTTTTCTTTTTTTAGAAATCTGTGGTTTAGAAATGTCACCCAATATGCAAGGGATGTGCATAGGTGTCAAGTCCGGCACTGTCGTGGTTAGTTTTTTTTTTTTCTTGCCCCCTCTTGCTTCCCTTGGCTGAGTGCAGTCTTCCAAACAGATGGAATGTTTTTTAATATATATGTTTGTGTCTTCTTTTTTTTCTTGAAGGTTTATGGAGGGACACTGGGAACAGCATGGACACTTGCAAATGTCCACATGCATGATAACCTCATTCAAATCTCTAAAACATTTATGGATTTATTTAGAAGAGACAGTACCTGGTGAGTGAAAAGGTGCATGTGTGTGCGTGGTGATACTGTAACTGTACCGAAGGGTAACAATAGGATGTGAACGCAGCATTACAGCTTAGAAAAAAACAGAAATGAACACAGAATGAGGAGCGGTGATGTGATCTATAGACACTGCAGTGTGTTTGTGTGCTTTTCCTTCAGTCTGCTGATCGACAGATTACCCACTGACAGCGTCTGTCTACAGATGGTTCAGTACTACGACACCCAACAGGTCTATGTGATGGGAAGGTTGTGGTGAAGACCAGCAGTGCATTGATATGGCAGGACGGGATGCAGTACTGTCTCTTTAAAACAAACATCTACAAAAATGTTGCCTCCTAGCTAGTACAGACATGACAATATTCACTTTTGTTTACTCTGTTTTTATACAACACTATGACTAGGTCATCTGTCAGGGCAAGAGTCCAATCATTTTGTGCAGCGTTCAAGAGGAAAGAATCCTGCGCTCGCTTTCAGTTAAGTTCGCTGAGGGGGGTTATCGATCAAGTGCAGTGTAGAGAGAGGTTTCCCATTGCCTTGTTTCAATAGTTTTTTTATTTATTCTTATTTTGAAGAGAGAATGATGGAGTTTGGCTGAGGTGTCGTTGCTGGGAGGGGAGGAGGAAGTGGAGGTGGTCGGGGACTGCAGGTCAGTAGACCCAGGACACAGGAACCCACTGGCTGGTGGTGCACACCAGGTCGATGGCCTCCTCCAGGTGCCTGATGGTCTCATCGATCTCGTTGTTGATAATGGTCTGGTCGAAGTAGTGGGCGTAGGTCTTCTGCAGGATCTCGGACTCCTTCTGCAGCCGCTGGAGAGACTCGTCCTGGTGGAGGAGGAGTAACAGAGGGGGTTACACACTGATGGAAGGCAGTGATGGAGAGATGAGAACACATACAGGGCTGAGAGAGAAGGTCCCTGCATAGTTAGCAACTGAGCTACCCAAGACCCAAGAAAAACATGGTGAAACATTTGGTCATCAATACAGAAGAAATTTACGCTTCTTAAGTCCCGCCCCTTTTTGCTCTGTGCTCCAATATAAGTTGGCAAGCCTCTGTCAACTTCCTCCTTTCCTGTACATATGCTATGTGCTAGGCTAAACTATGTTGAAAAGACAACCACATTTTGAACTTTACAGAATCTCTTTTAAGGAAAGAGGGAATCCACTTGAAATTGTCTGAACAATAAAGTGCCATGGTCTTGCCCCAATCTCTCAAAGGAATAATCTCAAAGATAATAGCTCTGTACTGCTGCTGTACTTCTGCTTATGAGCCCTGAAGCCACTGTGGGAGCGAGATGTGGGGTTCTACAAGATTAGACCAAGATTTACTATGGGAACTTTCCAAAATGTACTTCACTTTGTATACATGAACAGAATGTTAAATATTTGACTTATTTCACACCTCACACCTTAACACACACACACACAGCTAAGACATCTATTATAAAAAGTGTCAAATATTCTGTGATTGAGCTGTTAAACCATGCTTCAGAAGATCTTTTTGACACAGACTCCAAATCCCTGTTTCTGGCTAAAAAGTGAATCGCAAGCATATCTTACTTTTGTATAAGGTGGAAAAAAAGACAAAAAACAAGTGCCAGTGCTCCTATAATACATCTTTTTACAGTCTATCATATTAGAGCCACAGTGTGACATGCATATTGTTACAGCAGAGTTTGTGGGGCCTTTACTCAGCAGGGGAAGAAGTGAATGGGCAAACAAGGACTAACTCTCTAGAAGCACACAGACAGCATATGGCAAGGAATACACATACAAATAATTAAAAATAACACTACGCAGTCACTATCCTGTAAGGTTTTACTTACTTGCAGCGTTCGACACCACCTGGGCATCTGAGGAGGGGGCACCAAATAAACAAACACATGCAGCATGCAAAAATAAATGAGTGCAGAGGAATGAGAGAGTGAAGAGCAGGCAGAATGAGAGTGATAGTGCATGATGGCAGTGCTTTACACAATGACGCTGCAGGTTTTTAGACGGACTTGTTTTGATTCAGTAATAAAGAGTAATGTAATAACTTAATAACGTGTAAAACATGTGACTCTGAAGTGTAACTAAACCCTTCAAATTCTGCTAACTTCCTCCCTTCCAGCAAGTTTTAAAATATGCAGCAGAAAGAATCATTGCTTTGACAGTCACTAGAAGCACATTAATAGCCATTTGTAAAGGTTTCTGTGTGCTAGCTGTGTTGCTGCAGTTTTGTTGAGCGATAGTGGCCAGTGTAACATTTTACCTTTGACAAACTTCAGAACTTCTGAATGCTGTCAGACTCTGTGTCTGTGCTGGAAACATAAGGTCTGCTGGCACTTTGAATGTCACTAAAAGCAGATTGACGCTGTTTGTAACCGTTTCTGGGATTTTGTTACTTTAAATAGCTTAAACACAGAATAAAGATTAGATTAAATGTTTAGTTGATTTATGAAATACCAAGCATTTACTGGTTTCAGCTTCTTGCTTTTCTTTGTCATATCTGATAGTAAATGTTTATATACACTAAATTGCATATTTACACTATTTTCTGTAATTTTGTAGACTAAGCAATTTATAAAGACAAAATAATCATTAATCAAATAAAAGTAATAACCTGTAGTCCAATCCACATCACTTACTTATATTATAAATCTAACCACTTTTGTTGGACAAAAGAAATAATAGTGATAAACAATATTATTGTCATTTTAAAACCATTTTATACCACTAATGTAATGTTAAGATTAATAAAGCAACTACACCCTTAAAGAATTAAGAATTAAGAATTTAAGAATATGCAGACATTTGAATTGGAATGTGAAAAAAGTGTCTCGGCCTAGCTTTCTTCTGTTTATTTGGCTTAGGTGCTGTGAAAAAATGGTAAGGCACTGCACCCATGTCTTATAATAGTAGGGCATTTGCATTTGCAAGAATGAACGGTTGTGAAATGGTTGTTTGTGGATTCTTACAAATACCATTAGGAGCACTAGGAGAAGCCAGAGAGCCTGATTGTTTCACAGATCTGTCTCTTGTACTACTGTCAGGATATAGTGAAAGTTTCAGTGAATATGACAAAAAGTTATTTTTATAAAAGTTACCTACTGCAGCTTTAAAGCTCTTGTTATTATATTCATTGTTGTTTTGGCCTTTTCATGAGATTTTGTCAATAATAAGAAAAATGTATAATATGACCAGCCTTCTCCTTTAAAATGTATCAACCTTTGAGTGTGTGTCTTTGGTGTCTTCCTACCTCATTTATGCCTGGAGTAATAGTTGGTGCAGCGATAAAAACGACATATGGGGCAAACTCTGCTGTCCGCAGGACCTTCAGGGCCTGAAGGAGAACAGTTGTTAGGGGTAAAAAAGTCCTTATATATGCATGCATGCATACTCACACCTAAACACACACATATATAATACTTTTATAAAGCAGCAACAGAAGGTGGGTGACACACACACACACACACACACACCTGAGGTTCGACATCCAGTATAGCTATGAGTCCCTGTTGGTGGATCTTGCGGATGGTCTCCAGCCGCGTACCGTACATGGCGTCCTCGTGGCTGCCGTACTCAAGGTACTCGTTGTTGCTGATGTCCTGCATCATCTGGTCATGGGAGACAAAGTAGTAGTTCTTCCCGTTCTCCTCATCCTTCTTTGGAGGTCTGGTTGTGTCTGCAGGGAAGCAGGAGACACATTTACATTCACTTATATACAGTATATAGTGGTGCCGTTGTGTTTTTGTGGAGGACTTTAAATGTGTCTTACGTGGGATGGGGTAGGCGAATCTGTCCGGGTGTTTGGTTATGAGTGTGTTCTTGATGTGTCTTCGGCCCACTCCATGGGCACCTGACAGAGATACAGACAGTCAGTCAGAGAGGTCAGTTAATGAAAGCAGACATCATCATTTCTTGCTGCTAAACTTGGCAGAACTCACCTAACAAAACTAGTGTTTTCCTCTTGAAGGCAGGAAGCTTCACAACCTCTTCATATGTGACAAGATCTAGTTGGTCGAACACTGGAGGTTTAGAGAAGACAGACAAAGAGTATGTGGAGTGTGCTGGGACAAACAATAGAGGGCTTGTCGTACTAAATAGTCTGAAACACATCTGCTAACTATGTGGTGAAGATTCAGAATCTCACTGGCAAAAAGCCTAATGCCAAAACAGTGAGCGGAAATGACATCTGGACAGCTGAGATGATCTGTGAAGTGATGATGATTCTTTATGTTCTTTTTGAGTTTAAATAAATCTGACCAGGCAGTAATTCATCCAGTGAGAAATCATGAGACTGCCAATATAATAAAGCAAAAAGCACAAAGGCTCCACTTGATTGTTGAAGTGATGAATATTTTTGTGATTTCCCTAAGTCTAGCAGGACTGCAGAAAAGTTGCCGTAAATTTAATGGACGCCTCCCTAAATTCTGCCCCTTTTTGCTCTGTGCTCCAATAACAGTTGAGCAAGCCTGAGCGGCTGTGGCTCAGAGGCAAGTGGGTCATCCACTAATCGGAAGGTTGTTGGTTCGATCCCCGGCTCCTCGCCACATGTTGAAGTATCCTTCAGCAAGATACTGAACCCCAAATTGCTCCGAGTTAGTTTCTGTTCGATGGACTTTGCCATCACCGAGTGAATGGTGTGGTGAAAGGGTGAATGTGGCACCGTAGTGGGTAAAGTGCTTTGAGTGGTCTGAAGACTAGAAAGGTGCTATACAAGTACAGGTCCATTTACTATTTACTCAGTCAGAACCTTAGTCACCTCCTTCCTTTCCTGTACTTGGATATGCTATGTGCTAGGATAATCTATGTTGAAAAAGTTTGAAGATGGTTAAAAGATAAAAGCACCTAATGTTAACTAAGGATTGGTGTAACTAGTTAGCTAGTGTTTTTCTTTCAGTTATAACCAGCTAGCTAACAATTGATGTAGAATCACTAGCTAGTTAGCTAGCATGCTCCTAAAATTAGCTAGCTAACTTACAATTTGACTATGTTTGCCTTGGACTAAATATTTTTGCTTCAAACATTTATCTGTGAAACAAAACATAGGCCAGAATAAACAAGGGGAATTGCGGGTTGTGCAGAGTGTATCGTATGTTACAACGGAGCTGTTCACTGTACAATGTGTTCTCAGCCCTGTAACATGACCCTCCATGCAGCTTCATCTCAGGGCTCTGACAAGTGAAATAAAATACCCACAAGTCACTGGGGTCTCTGGTGCAACAGGCGGCTACAGACCAGCTGCTGCTCAGACTGACATGAATATCTGTTTACAGTATCGACTCAATATGTTAGTTAATACCAGAGATTTACCTCACTGTGTGTGGGTCTGCTAATGAGCACACATGACCAAACACTAATAAGAACAGGAACATCACAGCACACAAACTAAGCTACATGGTTTCAATTTTGTCTCATCCTTCTGTTGTTTCCTGACTGCATCAACAGAAACAAAACTGAAACGCTGGCAGTGTCAACTGATTCCATCTACAGGGTTAACAAAACAAACAGAAAGAGAGAGAGTGAGGCAGTGGAAGAGAGTAAAAGAGAAGAGCTGGACGCTGTCACTGATTGTTACTTACATGCAGAGAGGCCGTTCAGTAGGAGAAAGCCAGAGAGATGAACAGGAGGGGTCATAACATGGTTCGGTTACACAGCAGAATTACAAAATGTTACACACAAACAGCAAGATACAACAGCTGGGCAGCTGTGCAGTGCCAGCAGTGGAGATGGAAACACACAATGTATGGTTGTTGTCGCTGTTGTAGGGTAACTGGTGATATTTTTTTGTTATTTTTGCTTAAACTCCCGACAATAGTATATGAGACAGATAATCTGTGAAAAATATAATTGACACTTTGGGTTGTTTGGGTCCCAACTATCTTTTCCATCTCTGATTCTCAGATTCTTACAAATAGGAGGAACCTGATTTTTTTAACAGATTATCTGTCTCATGTACT